AGCATAGGTAAAAATATTAGGTAATTTTTTTATATGTGTCTAATTTTGATGAATAAATTTATCTAATATTTATATTGGTGTAAGGTAGAAAATATTCCGTAAAATTAGTTGAGATGAGCATAAATTGCCCGGACACTACGGTTACAAAAAAATTTGTTGTAGACTAATTTATAACGCAGTTGAATGGTCCAAATTAAAACCTAGATGACCTCATTTGAGAATCACATATTTTTTTTTTATTCTTTTCTTTCCCAGCTGCAACTTCTCATCTCTTCTGACCTAATGGAACACCCCGAGCCGTAATAAAAGCTGTACGGATTTTGTACTTTCCAGCGAAACTTCCTTGAAATTTCATACTAGAATCCACCTTGAAAGCTACAGTTTCTCTAACTATATATACAGCATTTCTAAAAATAGAAACCATAAACATAGAAAAGAAAACAAGAACATATTGTTGATCAATTACGTAACCACTTCGATAAACTCCATTGAATCTATGTCACATCATCTAGCTTATTTATAACTTCGATTTAAAAGTTCAATATATATAATATATCATTAGCTATAGAGAATATAATACATCATTAGCTATAGAGCACTTCTCTATTTAAACAATCATATCATGAAGTTTATCGTTTATGAATTTTTGAAAGAATTTATGCTTTATCTACTTATTAGTCATAGTTAAAGTGTTAAAAATAAGTGAAGATACATGTTACACTACAATTTTGAATCAGAAGAGAGATTTTAAGAAGTGACAGATCTATTTACTCTATCAATAACTGAGCTGCCTCTGATGTATCATAATGGATTTTTACAGAATACTTGCTCTACTATTTTGCCCAAGCTAGGCTGATCTATAATGATTTTACGTGTTGTTTCGAAGAAAATGATCTTCTATATATGACGAGTTACAATTTAAGTAGAATAAAACGACCCTATTAAAAAGCTTTTATTGATCTTCTGTGAAAATTCAAGAAACACATTGAATTCCTGATCGACATTGAAACAGAGCAAAGCAGAGAGAAGAGAACACATGCAGAGATTCGGGGAATTTTCCGTATAGAATCAATCGAATAGTAAAATGAATTAGCTAGCTCCTATATATACAAATGTAACTACCTGCCAGCTGTTTAACTAATTAACTTCCACTAACAAAATAATTAACTAATAACTAACTACACTAACTAATTCAGCTAAGAACTGATTAAGCTCAGTGTACAGCAAGGCATTTGCCTAATTCCTTCACAAAAATGGATCATATGATTAAGTAAAATAACCTTTATAGAGAACCATCTATACAACTATTTCCCCTATCTTTTTGTTTGTTGGTTTGATTATTTTCTAATTAATTTTCCTATGCCCAGCGTACTCGTCCTAAAGACACCCTCCAAACAAGTCAAAAATAAAGAAGATGGAAAGAAATTTCCAAACACAAAAGCTATGACCTATAGATATCGTATCGTATCGAAATGGCCAATTTTTTCAACCATTTTAAGCTCCAAAGTACATTGATCTTGTTTGTTTCCGAGCATATATATATACACATTGATTGCTAGCCCTAGCTTATGTTGCGTATCAGAATCAGAAACTTGGAGCACCAGATATTTTCAATATTTTATCTGCCCGGGATCTCTTTGGTATGTCTCTTGTCTCCTTTTTGGTTTTCCACCCGGTGTCTCGTATCAGCATTAGAGCCTGAATTGAATCGGATTTGTGCCACAAAGTCTCACTTTGTAAAGTCCTATCAAAGGCTCTATACCCCAAGGCTCAAATTCAAGATATTTGTTTAAGGATGAACCAGTACTTATCAGCAGTGGCGAAGCCACATGATCATAAGGTGGTCAACTGAGCACCCTTCGCCGAAAAATTGTATTGTGTATATAGGTAAAATATTACGTTTTAGAGGTATATAACATATATTGAACACCCTTTGTCCGGAAATTTTTTCACTTCTTTCAAATTTGAATACCCTTAGAAAAATTTCTAGCTTCTTCATTGCTTACCAGTCGATCACAATCTTTAGTGGTTTCACTTGTCTTCATTCCTTCTTCTGCTTCCGAATCCAAAATTTTAATTGATATATTTTTTACTCCAACCAATTGATGGTTTCGAATTTTATGGTATTTAATTGGTTTTTTGACTAAAAATGATTGCCTTATCTACAGTTAATTATTTTTCTGATTTAAAACTTTAGAACTCTTTGCAAGATTATAATAGCCTCCTAGAAGACCTTTCAATTGGTTCGATTAATTTATATACGCAGATAAAGCACATAATTTTTTCAGTATGAATTTGTTTTAATATGTAGGTTACTCGTCTTATTTTTCAAATTACTATTCTCATGCATTTGGATGGTTACATGCAGTTATCTTTTAGATAATTTCCCACTTGCATAATATTTTTGTATTATCGGTATATAAAAATAAAACTTTAATTGAAAACTTAATAATAACACTTAATTAGTACCTAACTTGCTATCAAAGTTAAATTATACCGATATTATTATAATTTTTATATTATCAATGCATATAAATGAAAATCCGTATTTCATATCTGCATTTCCTATGGTCCCTACTCAAGCTTGGTTCTGGGAAATTTCCTTTATTGGCTTCGACCGGTAAAGACAGTTATACGCCACAATCAATCATTTCACGAGTGACTTCATTATATTTTAGTTAAATATATAAAAATAATCAAAGGTACATATATTTGGCACATACACTATAAATATATAATATAGTATGTGTATATATATTTGGCAAAAGAGAAGATAAGCTTCGAGACCTTCATAAAGATACTATGACTTTATAAAGACTTTCATGAAGAAGTTATACCTATATATACATATTATTCCCTAATATTATAATTGAAGGCCTGCTATATTTTATACTATTTGGAAGGAATGTTTTATTAATGATAGACAACAAAAACACAAAAGATGATTTCTTTAGTTCTGTTTTTCTTTTTCTCCGGCCAGCCTCATAACAAACTACTCCTGTCTCAAATTATGTGATACTTCTTTGTTTTCGGTCAGTCATAAAAACAATGATAATTTTTATATTTAGCAATAATTAAACTTTAAACTTCTCATTTTACTCTTAATGTGATTATTTATAGCTACAAAAATTATTATAACTTGTTTAGGACCATAAGTTTTAAAAATATTTTTTTTTTTCATTTTTGAATTTCGGGTGTCCAGTCAAAAACCGTCACTGAAGGAGTAATAAATTGGCTCATATGTAATTTCTAGTTCTAAGATAGGTATGAAAAAATATGGCCGTTATAAAGCTTCAAATCCAGACAACTTCATGCATAAAATGACATGTGATCGTCTATGTCAAGTAATTTGTAGGGACTGCAAATCTGTTGTAATGTAATTTCCACGAAATTTCCCCAACCCACAAAACCCCAAAAGCAACCCTAACAAGAATCCAAGATATTAAAATTAAAGAAGAAAAAGAACTGTCTTTCATTCTCTTTGTTTTTGTTTTTAAGTGGCTGTTTTGTATTTATGTTTTTGTATCATTCAGTATTTGCTGATAAAAAGATTCGTAGAGAAGTAGTGTTGTTTGATCAAAAAGTATTAAACTTTTTGCTAAACCAATTAATGAAGAATACAGAGGATAAATTTTAGCAAAGGATAATTATCTCTAGATCTAAGCACATAAAATAAGAGAATAAGATATAATCAAGCTTATACGTTTTCTAGGATCATATAAAACATCATATATAGATGATAGGCTTACATTCTTTACATATTATCCCAGAATGTGGTGATAAAGACGGAAAAGATGGAATGTTGTTGACAGTAACAAGATCTATCTTCATTGATTCAATGATCACGATTAGAGATTTATATCTACTATCTAAATTGTTTCTTGGTTTTCACTACCTCTTCCTTCTCTAGGAAAGGAAGCCCCCTTTTCTTGTCTTCTTACCTCCTATACATATTATCAGTATTCTCTTTTGTCCAACGGTCCTTAGCCAGAATGTATTCATCCCCTGATTGTACTTCATCTCGCCGCCCTCAAGTATCACGACTTTTACTTTGCCATACAAACTTTTTGACGGCTCGATCTCGGCAATGGCCGAGGTACTTGTTGTTATTATACCTTGTGGGTATGACCATGGCTTAGTCGACTTCTTACCATTCCTTTTAGCACTAATCCAAGTGTGGTCAGATTTTGACCCATACAAGTGTGGTACTTGCTTTTTTGGTTCATGAAATTTGATGTGCTCCTAAGTTGGTAGAAAGCATGAACAAGATAATTACATATGTAATTGAAACTTGCAAGAAATAATTAATTGTCAAGAGAAAATGGAGGTACCATTCAACGTGATTTATTCTGGAAAAAAATTCGTAGGTTTTAATCACAGTCTTGGAAGACCTTTTTCACAAAACTCATGACTTCTCTAATGTCAATTATATGTAATACCAGTTGGAAAATATTTTTTTAGTCAGAGGCGAAATCAAGATTATGAATTAGTGAGTACTGAGTACACTATATTACCGCGCTCACACAGCTGTGTAAAAATGACGGCGACGTATTAGTACACATATATGTCCGTACGTAGTTTAAATTGCAGACGGCGAATTAATATGTCTATAGCCTATTACCAGTGGCCGCGGTAGCTATTGAGTTGCGGATTCAACTAAACTTGATATTTTGATACGAAACATATATTATACTACGTGAAAACTGTACGTAGATTGGAGCTTAATGGAAAAGACGAAATAATAGAAAAACATGGTTCATCTACAGTAGATGTAATTAAGAACTGAAAATATATAGAGTATATTTGGAAAATCACCTTGTAATTGAATTTGGGTATAATTGAGTGTAATTACACAGTTTAGCTTGTTTGTCTGTCAAATAATTACTTAATCATCATAAAATTAGGTGTAATTGAAAAGGAGCAATAACAAACTCTACTTCTAGGGAGAGCTAAGAATCGGAGGTAACTACACTCTCCAATTACAAACTGATTTTCCAATTCTTTTTTTTCCTTTCAAAACTCTCCCATTTCTTCCGTCTTCTCACTTTTCTTTCCAAAGTTGATCACTTCCATTTCGGGTATGTATTATTCGTTCCTTCTTCCTTCTTAATTTTTTCTTATTTTCGTTATTTAGCACTCTGCAAATACGGGTTCTTATTTTCTCACCAGTACTATAATTCACCTATAGTAATTATTCTGTTTGCATACAAATTCTGGTTCTCTTTTCGCATTTTACTAGCATTGACTTCCATTAATTAGTATAAATATTTATTATTAATTTTTTTTATAAACTCATATCATTATATTTTAAAATTTAAACAATGCAATAGTTATGTATTTCATGTTATATTCACATAAGTTGATAAGAGATTTAAATTTGTTCTTGAAATCTTTATCAATTAATTTGAGTTAAAATATAATTTATTTAAAAGTACCAATTATTATTTACTTATAATTATTTAATATATTTATACAAAAATATTATTTAAATATCTAATTATGTAATTACATTTGTACAATCAAATATGACATTAAAAATTACATTGTTATTACTTTGTGACAAATAAACAAGTCTTGGTTATTACTAGACCATGTAATTACTATCCTAGTAATTATACAATCATTTCCAAACAGGCCCTTAGTTTAACAATAATTTCGTTGTGTTGTAAAAGAGTCAAGATAAATATTGTTACAAAATGGAAATTCTCATGCCACATCAACCATCTGAGAAGTTGAGTAGAGAGAGAAAAGAACATAAGAGGACCCCCTGCCACCCGGCTAGCTCTTTCGTTTCTTGATCTTTTGGTTAAAAGTGTAGTATCTAAACATAACTCGATACACAAAGTATTCCGCATTATTCGGGGCGACATCTTAAGAGGAACGATGCATGTAATCTAACCTGACATTAACCTCAGTGGCTGATTTTATGACTTGAATTTAGAATCAATAATTCACATAGAAACGATTTTAGCATTGTTCCAAGACCCCCCCACCCCCCACCCCCCACGAACTATAATATATGTTCTTATAATTTAATAATCTGTTTATGTGATGACCCGATAAGTCATTTTGAGTGTTAGCCTTCATTTCTGTGTCCGAGACTTCGAATAGCTTCGTTTAACCTTCTTCAATTTATGTGTGCAGTCCGTGTCTTTTTCCAGAAGATTTTTAGGTGAAAAATTGAAAAACAAAATATGAAACTTAGCCTTAAAAATGATTTGAGAATGGTCAACCTTTTGTGTAAACAGACCCGGATCAGTATTTTGACGGTCCCGGTGGGTCCATATCGTGATTTGGGAGTTGGGCGTATGCCCGAAATCGAATTCGAAAGTCCCTATCTTGATTTAACATGATTTGTTGAAAACTAGTAATTTGAAGGTTTAAAGAATTCCTAAGTTTGACCGTAGGTTGACTTTTTTGCTATCGAGTTCGGATTTTGGTTCCGAAACTTGGTATAAGTTCATTTCACTATTTATGACCTGTCTGCAAAATTTATTGCAAAACAGAGTTGATTTGACGTGATTCGGAAGTCCGATTATAAATTTGCATGTTCTTGAGTTTCTTTAAAAATATCGTTCATTTTGATGTCCGATTCGTAGTTTTAGGTGTTATTTTGGTGTTTTGGTCGCGCGAGAAATGACGTATAATGTTATTACAGTTGTATGCATGTTTGGTTTGGAGCCCGAAGGGCTCGAATGAGTTTCAAATGGCCTACGCAGTGGTTTTTGGACTTAGGCAAATTTTTTTAAATGAAGTTTCGCCATACGTGGCGCATTCCTTTCATTCATCCAAAAAATTAGTTACAACAGAGAGATAGATCAGTTATCCCAGTTTACCTCCTTATGTGAACCCTCTCTATAAAAAGGTTGCAAAAACTTACAAAACATGCTACCAATTAACAATAGGTAACTTAACAAAAAGAGGACATCCTATCATAAAAAATAGTTTTTCCTATGCTTATGTCTTAAGTGGCCATTTGCATCAAATCCAACCTGTATGGTCTCTTAGCTCCTTGAGGTAGAGTATTGACCGATGTAAATACATGATCTGGATTTTTGGACTTAGGCAATTGCCAGTTCTGAGTTTTCTGATATCTGGTACATCCTTCTTCGCAATCGCGAAGAGTAATCTGGGCTGGGGTGGAATTTCCTCTATGCGAACGCGAGCCTGAGGTCACGAACGTGGAGCAATGATGGGATCACCCTTCGCGAACGCGACCAAAGCTGCACAAACGCAATGGGTATGGGCCTGGAAGGGGGATCAGTTGTGTGTTCTACGCGAACGCCATCGGAGGGTTGTGAATGTGAAGGCCAGGGGGCAGAGCCATCGCGAGCGCGTAGCGCATCTCGCGAACGCAAAGGCCAATAGGGTTGTTGTGCTTCGCGAACGCGATGAAGACCTGACGCTAGTGATTTAAAATATCCCAAAGACGGGAATTTCCTTATTTTTCACCATCCTCACATTAGATCTCGGCCTAGAGGTGATTTTGAAGAAGAATTTTATTCTCACGTCATAGGTTAATATATTTTAACTCGTTTTCTTCCATTTTCATCAACACCCGCTGATTTTTAACCTTAATCTACACTCTTTCATGGTAGAAAATTAGGGATTTGGATAGAATTGGATTTGTTTTTTGTAAAATTGAGATTTAGACCTCAAATTGAGGTCGAATTTTGAAACTAATCACACAATCGGGCTCGGGGATGAATGGGTAATTGGGTTTAGTCCGAATCTCAGGTTTTGACCAAGCGGGCCCAGGGTTGACTTTTATTGACTTTTGGGGAAAAGTATAAAGATCTTTTATTTATCTATTGTAATTGATTTCCCTAGGATTGTTTGATAATATTAAATCGATTTTGGTTAGATTCGATTGGTTTGGAAGCGGATTTTAGAGGAAATGCCCCGGTTGAGCTGTGATTTGGTTGTGAAGCGAGGGATTAGGAACTCTTGAACTATATGTTATGTGAATTACATGTGTGATGTGTAATTGCTACTTGCCATAATTAATTGCTACGCGGTTCCTTTATTGATTTGCTTTCATATCCTTTAATCGTAGAGATTCTTGTGAATTGAGTTGTTGGATTGATTACATTTGTTGAATTTATTTGTGGTGGGATCGGGTTGCATGCTGCAAAGGGTTGTGTACATAATACTTGATATTGATAAATTATGACATGGTGAAACAAGGGAGGATTATGATATTGATTTTGATTATATGGTGGGATCGGGTTGCGCGCCGCAACGGATTTTATATGTGATTCTTGATATTGATATAGTGAAATACGAGAGTATATGTGTTACGGTAGGATCGGGTTGCACGCCGCAACGGATTGTGTGTGTTGTATTCATTATTATTGTGTTGATTTCCTGTGTTGTTACATGAAATTATGAGATCGGTTTTTCTAGGTCCTCTAATTACAAGAATTGAATTCTTTTTCATAAGTTAACTGCCTTACTTCCTCTTTCCTTTTTTCTAATATTATTAGTATACTGCGTACATGTTATTGTAAGTGACCCGTCTTAGACTCGTCACTACTTCGTCAAGATTAGACTCGACACTTACAGAGTACATGGGGTCGGTTGTACTCATATTACATTCTGCACTTTTTGTACAGATTTTGGAATCTGTCCTAGCGGCGGTAAGTAGATTGCTCGGATCTGGTACTTGATGGAGACTTGAGGTACAACTGCACTGCATTTCCCCTTCTACATTACTCTAGTTGTTTATTTCAATTCAGATAGTTATGCTTATATTCAGACTATTATTTGTAGTACTCTAGACGCTCGTGTATTCGTGACACAAGTTCTGGAATTTGTATTTGGTTATTGCCGTATATCAAATTTATCTACTTTATTTAAGTTTATTTAGCTTATTGGTTTTCATTTGGTTTGAATTATTAAAATTGGTTAATAACTACATCTAACATTAGTTTGCCTAACAAGTGAAATGTTAGGTGCCATCACGGTCCTGAGGGTGAGAATTCTGTGTCGTGGCAGTTTACTTTACATAAAAATTTAATTTATTTCACATTAAATCTCATCTAAAATAATGCATAAATTTCATCATAATTTAGTACGTATACTAATGTTCGGCCAAAAGTATGTACTTTTGTATATGCCTCACATTTTGCTATATTCTTGGTTGTTCTAATGTGTAATTGCAATGAGTTGAGCTAAATTTTGGTATTTATATGTGTAGGAATTAATTGGAAGTGAAATGGATTGAATACGCATGAGTTGGAGCCGAAAAAGAAGAAAAATGGACAAGTGCCGAATTCTAGCATCCAGACGCGCTACCTGTGGCACTAGAAACAGAAGATTAAAATTTTCGGCATCCAAGCTAGTGCGATGTGTTGTCCAGGGTGCCCAATCCCGAGAATTGTCCTATTTCGACTTAGAGAAGATCTTTTTGGGCCCTACACGTCCCAACTCGTATAAAAAGGGATTCTTAACCAAATTTAGAGGGGATCTAGCATACTTTGAAGGAGAACACGCCACTTTAGAGGGGAGAATGCAAATCACGCTTGTAGGAGACTTCTAACTAGTTTTTCTTCTCTTCTCTTCCTTTAATTTCATAGTTTATTAGTTCTAGAGTTGTGGGTGCTACATAAACGTTATAGTTTGAAGCTTGAATTGTTCTTATTATTTTATCATATTAGTTTATTTATTCAATCTTGTGCTTAATTATTTGATTACTAATGGAATACTATCTATGAATCTAGGATTGAACTCGGGAGAGGGAATTCTAGATTGCATATAGGTATGAGTAGAGCAAGATCTTGAACTTAAATTATGGGAAACGGATCTGCAGTTAGGACAAGGATATACCTAATTTCTTTTCTTGGTTGCTATACAAGAATTATTAATGTGTTCTTGTTAATCCTAATTCCATAAGAATATAGGAGTTAGGTTACCTTGAATAGGCTAGTAGTACTTCTGGAGAATACTATGAGTAATATTAACTCTGTCAACCAATAAACTAGATAATTTAATTAGACAATTTAAGTGAAAGACTCAACAGGATTGTTAGCTAACCTATAGTTCTAGAATATTTTCTTCCACTGAATTCGTCTCTATGATTGCTGACTTATTTCCTTTAATTTCTTAGCTTTCTACACTAGATTAGTCGTAGTTAATTATCTTTAGAAAATTATTTAAATAGATTAATTTTTTGAATTTAATTTAGTTGATAGCTAATCATAAGTCCTCGTGGGAATGATACCTTACTTATCACTTTATTACTTGTCAATCGCGTATTTGCGTGTGCGTTTCAGAGCAACAAATTTTTGGCGTTATTGTCGGGGATTTAGAAATTAATTGTTTATCTAGATTAGACTTTTCTTTTTGTTTATTCAAGTTCTATTCTTTTATTATTATTATTTTACTCTACCTGATATGGCATCTTTGAATAAAAAGTTATTGTCTGATAGTATTCATGTTTTGTTGTTCCATGTTTGTATTGCAAATGATCTCTCTTCTGGCAATATTGTTAATATATTCACAAGGGAGAGTTGTGTACACCATCTCAATCTTGTGATGTGTGCGAGGGTCATTGGAATAATCGTCCTAAGTTTTGTTATCCTACTCAAATCCTTTCTTATGATGATTCTAATAATTCTTGTGAGTTTGACAGGAGTAACGAATTGAGTTTGACAGGAGTAACAATTTGGATGATGTAGAACATGATATTCGCATTCTTGATATGCATAGGAAATTATTAGAGCAATATAGAGGTCTCCGTGAGAAAGTTATAAAGGAGATGCAACTCTTTATAGAAGGAAGAACTGAGTTGATACAAAAGATCGACCAATTTGGCAATTCTATTCACGACTTGGAGGCACAATTGCGTGCAAAGGTTGTTGCGTCTAACACCTAACAAAATATTTATGAGTTGTGTAAAGTTGAAAAGGAGCTTATACGCCAAATGGGGGAGCTAAAAATGGAGATTCACTCATTCGACCATATTTTTATTGATGATGCCAACTTTGAGAAAAGTACATTAGAGTCATATGAGGGAGTAGATAACAATGTACTTGAAGACTCTAATGTGTGTACAGATGAGGATGTCAAAAGTAAAGCGTTTTTAGAGTTGGAGCGTATTGGACCTCATTCTAAATACTTTTCAATATTATGTTTGGTTGCGTTAGTTTTTTATTTTGTTAGTGTTTTACTGCCAAACACAATGTTGAAAAATCAAAACACTTTTCAAAAGTAAAGTGTATTTTTTTATTGTGTTAGTTTTGTAGTGTTGGTTTCATTTTGTAGGAGTAGGAGCATGGAATCAAAATCAGTAGTGTGTGTAAAAGCTAGAAGGTGGCTAGAACTAAGTGTGGGGTGCCCACACAAAGGTTCATATATGGGAAAAGTCTGAGTATCTTGTGAGTTGCTAATGCTTCGGCCTTTGTTCTACCAGGGAGTTTCTTTTACCTTCTTGTTATTTATTACGTGCATTGAGGATATTGCACAATTTTAAGTGTGGAGCGAAGATATTGTCTGGATAAATTGTTGTGCTATCCTAGCTTAGTTGTAGTACTCTTTCTTAGTGTAGTGATTTTAAAAAAGTTAAAAGGAAAATGAAAAAAAAAGCAGAAAATTTTGAATTTTCCCGACGATGAATTTGTGGACAGCTTTCTTGAAGGATTAACGTCCAATTTATTTCTAGTTAATTTTAGGTAGGTAATAATCCCTTTCGATTTTTCTTTGTGCATCGGTTCTTTCCAGGAGATGTAATGATAGAAACTAAGTGTCCACCAGACTGTATAGAGAACCAGATTCTCTTTAAGTTCCCACTATAAACAAAAGACTTTAAAACCAACCAGTATAGGGAATCAGGTTCTCTAATTGTTCCTACAGTAGCTCGGCAGTAAATAAAGAATACAGAGAATTTTTACGTGGAAAAATCTCAATTCAAGGGGACAAAAATTACGACCTACACATGTAGGCTTTCAATTTCACTTACTTGTAAACACCTATTACAAGCCACTTTGTAATGACTCCATTACAAAGATTTCAACTCAACTAACTTGTGGTACTCTCACCACAAGTCACTTTGTCACTCTCTAGTTACAAAGACTTTAACTTAACTAACTTGTGATACTCTTACCACAAGCCACTTTGTCACTCTCTAGTTACAAAGACTTTAACTTAACTAACTTGTGATACTCTTACCACAAGCCACTTTGTCACTCTCTAGTTACAAAGACTTTAACTTATGACTAACTCTAGTCACAACACAAACTTGGTGGGTTTGTGATTTTGGGTTTTCTAAAACACAGCTTCTAAGAAAGCAAGATAAGAATTACAAATGAAGAACAAATAACAAAGACTCAGCAAACCTAAGGACTTAAGATATCTTCAATCTTGGATCCGGTCCTTGAGGTTTTAGCAGCTTTGTTCTTGGGAGAGGTTGTGGCAAGCACTTAAGAGAATATCTTCTTTTGATTTTGCAAGTGTTGAATAAAATGTCTTGTGCCTTGCACCAGGTTTATACTACAAAAGATATCACCATGGTGATTTCAATTCACAATGGTGATGTCAATTCTTGGTTAGTACATGCCTTTTCCCAATGGGAAGTGACTGTTGTACTGTCTGCTGCACTATTACGTGTACAGTTGCAGGTAGTCACTTTCTGCAGTTGCTTTCCATCTGTATAGTTGACTTATACTTCTGTCAGGGGAACACCAAGGGATCAGGTCCCTAATCTGGTTCTTGTGAATCTAAAGGCACACTGCCCAGATTCTCTTGAGTCAATTAACTTGAATGATTATACCAGGCATGCTTCAGGTCCTTTATCTGGTTCTCTCATGAAGTAAGTTGTTTCACCCTCCTTGATTATATTTATACTGTCACGCCCCTTTTTTCCCTCCTCGCAGATAGAGTTCTGGGTTTCGACATTCCATGGGGCGTGATAACTCATTTCCTTTTGGAATTGGGTACTTGAAGAGTCGCCACCTAACATGTTTATGGTGCGTTAGGGAACCTAAAGCGATTAACTCTTGGGATTGGTTTGCATTACCAGAGATTTAGGGTAAGGCCTCGAAATAACCTTGAGGGAAAGGTGTTAGACACCCCTCTTGGTCCATAACTATGGGTCCAGCCGAACTTATATTCATAAATTAGTCCATATAAATAAACAGTTGAATCAAATAGGTTGCAAGTAAAGCACGTTGGGTAACTCAAGTAATAGAATAAAGATTTTTGAACAAAGTTGTAAACAAAGGTTTTAAATAGGAAAGGGATTTTGGTAAAGGAGCAGTCCTAGGTTGGTTAGCCTATATGATCACCCCACACAATGTCCGGTAAATACTACTCGATAAGGGGCTACACGTGACATTAGCGCTTAATCATCATATCTACCCTTCACATCCCCTTAGTGGTCATGCAAAGCTAGTGTTTCGTCAGTGATCTCTATTGCCTGTTGTTACCCACCCCTTCTTAATGGTCCTGGAGGGATTTAGGACCTCTACCTATAGGTGGTTCTAGACAGACCCTTAAGGTTTTAAAGGTGAAAATTCTAAGGCGACAGGCAAAACAGTTAGGACTTTTAGCACATAAAAAAGGGAGCAATTAGAGGCTCAAAGTTTCCTTCTCAAACAAGGCACATAAACAGCACGACTCAAGCACAGTTAAGGGCTCTTTATTAAACAACATCCTAAGGCAGGATATCTATGTGAATATGCAGAAGACAAGCAATTTGTTTTTATAAACTCAGGAGTAATGACCTTAGAAGTTACCTATTGGTTTCTTAAAGCCTGTTAGGATCAGAAAACATTAAGTCATAGAAATAGTTTCAGAATCACAGTTTTGAAAACGCCCTACAGGCTTGCCTATACGCGGAATACTGATTATTGCATTGTATAGTAAGACAGGGCAGATTTTAAAACAAACTTTAAATCCTATGGGCATGCTGTCTAATAATAAATTAAGGCAGTTTTAATAGAATTGTTTTAGAAATATAATCTACTGAATTAAACTAATTCAGAAGTGAACCAAACGTTAACCGAATTAAGTTATTTAAACTAAACTTATGTGGGATCCATAGGCAGGATTTAATATTGTTCCATATAGGCATGATATCTAAGTTTACTACTGATTTTTAAAGACTTGCATGCACAAACACTTGTTATAACAGAAGCTAGGTTAAATTACATCCTATAGGCATGTCATCTATTTATTAAGCCGATTTTAAGACTTGTAGACATGATTTCCATTTGGTAAAGCAATCAGATTTAAACGTAAAGTCCTATGAGCATGATTTCTACTTGGTAAAGCAATCAGATTTAAATACAAAGTCCTATGAGCATGATTTCTACCCGTATTACCCCATAAACATGTATCTACCCATCCCTTTCACTAATTACCCCAATATTTGTTTACAAGTTATTACAGACCATATGAATGAATTACATAAGTAAATAAGAAAATAAGAAGCTATTCTATAGGGAGCCTTCAATTAGGCCCAGATTTCCAAAAGCCTCCAATAGCCTCAAATGTCTCAATACCATAAACAAAATCATAGTCTAGGTGC